ATTCCAAATCTAACAACCAATCAACGTGCATAATTATCATGATGGTTATCATGATAATATTAATTTTTGTCCTACATCTGTTAGTAATATTGTCTTATTTAGTTGACAAGAAGAATTTTTCTAATCGGAAGCTCTAATTGCATCTAATAATTAAAATTTTATAATTTTATTTCTCATAGTTGGTTAGTTTATGTAAAATCGTTTGAAGTAATAAGCTAAACCACTTTTCTTGAAAAATAAAATATGAACGCTATCTCGAATAATCAAGGTTTAAAAAAAAAAAATTTATTTTTTGAATTTGTATTATTTGTTCTAAAGTGATTTAGTTGTAAGCTAAACTACTTTTTTCAAAAAATAAAAAATAAATTGCTGTTATAAATGTCTATAAAATTTTTTAAAAAATCGGTTTGCTTTTCATTTTTGTTTTTTTTCATAATAGTTATTAACAAACTTTGTAATGGAAGATTTATATGAAAATACATCTGATATATCACAAATAGTAAATAAGGGCAGACGTTCAAGAGCTGATGTTTAGAATTATTTTACCCGTAGAGAATCTGATGGTAAAGGCCACTATAGTGCCAAATGTAAATACTGTATTAAAGGAAAGTAGAAACAGGGAAAACCTTCACTCATGGAATCTCACCTGGTACTGCATTATAAAGGTGGTGTTCCTGATGAAATAAGACATCATTGGCTAGTTGAAGTTGCAAAATGAAATGACAAGAATACTAATTATAGTGATAATAAAAGTGCATTATCAGCCTCTTTAATTAAACCTTTACATTCGTATTCTAAACCCGTTGAACCTGTATCTGATGAAAAAATAATGAAATTAACAAAGCTTTACTTAAAGCTTTCGTTTGTGCTGAGATTCCATTCTCTGTAATCAATAATCCATTTGTTTGAGATCTTCTTAATCTTCTTAAACCGGGGTACACTCCTCCTAAAAGAGTTACACTAGCCGAACGAATACTTGATGAAGAGGCTGCTTGTGTAACTATATGAACTAATAATTTACTTGACAAGAAGAATCATTTAACTTTAGGTAAAAAACGTTATATGTATGAGTACTATCAAATTAAAACCTCTAGGTAAAAAACGTTATATGTATGAGTACTATCAAATTAAAACCTCTAGATAAAAAATTCAAGTTTTCTTCCTATTGAACTCGATAAATTAATATGTAAATTATATTTTAATATAATTTATATTTTAAAACAAATTAGTTTATTATTCATTACTCATAACTATAGATGCAGACTTATTTACGTCACTAGTTATAGCTCAATTGTGTTCTATTTTATAGATTGATTTTTTATATAGGACGTAACTAGACGATGTCATAAGTCTGTATCTATACTTATAACGTTTTATACGTAGCAACCCTGATACTTAATTTAACAGTATTCTTATCCCTTAAACCATATAGCATACATATTTATATGCTTAAATTTTTAAAGACCTATTACTCAAAATTTTATTAGGCCATACCCCCCGCTTTCTAAGCTAAAATAAAAGCATTCTATATATTGAATACTATATAATATCTATTTTATAATTTTTTTTTATAATATTTTGGAAATTAGTTATTTAATGTAGATCGTAATAGGATCGTAATAGGACTTTGATGTCCAAATTTAATACTAAAAAAGGAACCTGCATGTGATACTTATAAAGATTTTTTACAATCATCACACACAGGTTTCTTTTATAATACAATATTAAAGTTGATCAAAAATTCTTCATGATTAACTTTATATTATTGGTTTTTGAGAAAATGCTATAGAGATACAGCAGCTCAAAGTTTGGGTCGCAAAGCACACTTCACAGCTATTAGATGAAGTTTTGCTTTTTGTTTAGGCCACATGAAGTATACCATTGCCATAACTGTGGAGTGTGCCATGTAACATAGGTTTCTGAAAGTCACAATAACCAATTAGAATAGAGGTTTTGCTAAAAAAATTTTTTTTTATACTGTATTGTCGCGAAATAATGGGCATGGGCGTTATTTATAATAATGGCCTGAATTAAGTCTAATTTAGGCCGAAATTCATCATTTTACCCCTGCGTGTTATTTCGTGACAATACGGTATCTCAATTTTCTTCTAAAAATTTAAGTGTACAAATTTGTATGCTAAAATATACGGTTTAAGGGATATAAATATAAGTATTATACATAGCATGATGCTTATATTTATCTTATAAAAATTTTATATATAATAATCAATATATATTATTATGAACAGCTCTTGATAGGTGGTCGAGTCCAGCAAATGAGTTGTTATATAATTTTATTATCTCCACACCTGATAGAAAAGAGTATTTGTATGCTATTTTAGATTTTTCAGATGCAATACAAACTGGAGAATTCCTTTCTTCTCAGATTTTTCGTATTGTTGATAAAGTTGACACGGATAAATTTATAGCTTGTATAACTGACAATGGGAGCAATGCTCGTATTGTTCGTGAAATTACTATGTACAATTATTTACATATTTGGAATATCAGATGTGTTGCCTACGTATTGAACCTTATTGCAAGTGATATTGTCAAAATTCCATCTGTTAGTAGTGCTCTAAAACGAGCTAACCAAGTTGTTTAATTTTTTAAAAAATCACACAAAGCATGTCGATTTCTTCGTGATATTATTAATAGTATGAACTTAGATGGTGGTGGCTTAGAAACATATGTTGAAACAAGATAAGCTTTTATTTTTGGGACTACATCTTCGATCGTAAGATTAAAGCTGGCATTTGATAAGGTATATATAAAATATAATGATTGTATTAGTTTTATTTAAGGCTGCGCAAAGTTGATTTTTTATTTTGTATAACCTGTTGACCTACCATAAAATCTGGACATGTGTATCCAAGGTCTATTACT